GAGGCCAGCCTGAGGGGCTTGGAGGGCAGGGACAGGCCTGGTCTCTGTGAGGATGCTGCCTGCCCCCAGCTCTTCGGCTGCAGGTCTCTGCAGGCTGGCTGTAGGGCAGCTGCAGAAAGCAGAGTGGCAGCGTAACACCACCTCCGCTTACTTGCTGGCCATGCTCGCTGTACAGACACATACTCTGTAGGCGCATATAGACCACCGCCCACCCCTGCAGCTAAGCCTGGAAGAGAGTTCAGGAGTTTGATGCAAAATAGGTTTCTTTAGCCACGTAACTTGAGTTCCAGTGCCTGCCTATGGAATGAATCCTAGAAAGTAGCTACCACCACTTCGATCTTGTTATTGTCCAGAAACATCTAGTTCTCCATCTTCTTTGTATTCCTTTTGTATGGCTAAGATGCCTGTCCTGTTGTGTTTATTATCTTAAAAGCAAAACTTCTGTTCAGATTGGAGAAAATAGAAAAAAACCTAGAATTTAAAAAAATTGCTTTGACTTTCTTGTATTCAAGGATTAGAAGATATTAATTTGAAGATTTTCTTTGATAAGTGCTCTGAGATCTTGGTTTAATTAATTTTAGTGATGAATTTATAAATCTGTTAAAAAAGTTAGAAAGGAAACTTAAAAGCTGTATTGTATAATCATCATTATTATCATATATTATAGCTGTGCTGTTGCAAGAAAGTGATTCTTGCTTGATTCCTAAATATTTTGCTTATTCTAAGCTGATGTTTCAGCTGCTTACTGTGACTGCTGAATCATAACTGACTTTGTGCTACAGTCTTTTGTGCTACAGAGGTCATCACAAAAAAGCTAGCAGTGCTCCCGTAACAGCATGCCACATCTATCGGTTTGCACTCCAGTCATGAGAAAACATAGCTGCTACCTAACTAATTCTCCTTAGCTCTTTAACTCCCCTGGAAACTGAAAAGAAAATGTTCATGGGCTGCTTTAAGAAGACCCCTAACATTATTTGCAGCTGGGAAAAAACCAACCACAAACAATAATATTAATAGAAGCTCTATTAAAAATGCAGTCGTCGTCACAGCACCCGATGACATAGCTACAGCACTTTTCTGTGAAAAGCCCTTTCAAAGCCACATGACAAGGCTGAGCAAATGGTTCAGGTGGGAATCTGAACCCACCTTCATCAGCTGAATTCCTGAACCCAAACTCGTGCAAGTTCCAATTCAGTGACACAGTGTAATGAAGCAAATGTCATCGTGCTTGTGCCTGCTGGGTCAGAGGATCACTGTGCTCTGGGATCCCATGTCCTTGTGTGCAGGGAGGAATTCAGCCTAAGGTTAGGATTCACCATCCTGCTGGGTTAGCATCCAAACTTGAACTTCAGTGAGATTGCTCTTGCCTTCAGAAAGGCCTAATGCTCTAATGTTCTGTAGTTAATGCTAAAATGCTGTGTAAAATACCTGCAAACGAAAAAAATTTCCGTAGATATATTTTGAAATTCTGAGTTCATCTCTGTATATCCTATGGAACACTGAACTTTTATTGATAAATTTACTATGGCTTTCATACAACCACAAATAGAAACGCTCCCCC